ATTGTCAAATTACATGGTGGAGATTCGAACCAACAACAGATATCCCATGACTAATTTTTAAATACAGCTCCACCGATGAACCGGTGGTGATTGTTGGTCATAATTTGACACAAAAATCTATAAAACCTTTTAAATTTGTAAAATCTTGATTTTATCCCATTTTACGATTTTACTACGATTTTACAATTTTACTATTTTGAGTTTACAAAATCCCAATTTAACTCTGATTTTACAAGAATTGCATAGGTGAAATTGTAAAATCATATAATTTTACGAGTTAAATCGCGATTTTGACAACCATAGTGCCAAGTAAGTGTCTTGTTGCAGGGTAGATTTAGAATGTAATGTCACTATGTGGCACTTAACTTGGAATTAACCCCTCAACTAAACCAAGTCAACCTTTCCTCACACTAGGCGTAACCCACACTACTAGAAAGTTGACCATTTCAGTCATAGCATTTCGGTCAAGCAAATCTCTTGACCAAAAAAATGATTAATTCAGAAAAATAAAATGACTGAATATAAAATTTGTTCGCAAAAAATAAAAAAACTTATACAATTTGATCTGATATGATTTCGATCAAGAACTTTGACCGAATTAATTTAGTGCCAAAAATAGATCGATCAAATTTCTTCACTGAATCATCAAAAAGAATTTATTTAGTCGACTACACTGACCGAATAAAAATAAAAAAAAAATCTCCATTTATTTCAACATTAAATATTAAGGAATAACATAAAATATTATTAATTCGATCAAGAAAAATGATCAAAGAAAACTTTGAACCGATGTGACATAAAGCAAGTCACGGTTCTGATCTTGCATGAATTTCAATCAAATTTATTGACCAAAATAAAAAGTTGCATAGTAACTTAAATAGTGGTGATCAACTTTTTTTTTTTATTTTTTACTGTTTAGGTCAAAAATTTTGACCGAAACAATGTTCTATAAGTGACTTGACTAGAGTTGGTGGTAGTTCAAGCATGCTGGGAGTAGTTTGGTCAGTCCTCATGATTGAAACATACATTGCTTTTTGCAAGATAGCTTTTCCTGCATGTTTCGGTTAGGCACATTGATCGAAACAAGCATGAAAAATCTGTTTTGCAAGATTCCCCATTTCCCATTGCATTTCGGGTATGTTGGTCCACTAGCCTATAAGGTTCACAACACATGAAATACGAAAGTAAGAGCTTTGGAGAAGAAAAGAGTATTAGTCCGCAAGGTAGTGTTACTAGACGCCTGCCCCAGCCACCTCCTGTAGGTAAAAGCTCTAGAATACTCCCAAAACTTCCACATGTGTACAATTTATAGCAGACTTCCTAAGTCTCCATTCCTATCCTAACCTATATAATT